CTGCGAGCGGCCTGAAAGGAAATCTATGATCCAATTAGTAACGCTAGGTGGAATAGTAAGCGCGCGTAATTTTCTCACTAAAATGTTATGATCTATTAAGTCAAAAGCTTTCTTGTAATCTAACAAGAGGGTTCTTATAGTTGATCCGTTTCTATCAGTCCCTTGCAACCAAACGTGTAACATTTCAAGGAGGGTGAGGGTTGTAGACGACTTTGGTATCGCTTCAAACTGACTAGGATCCAGCATACCCAGAACTGCTGGCTTCACATGTACGGTGACGACAAAGTCCTCTGCGAGCTTGGAGATACTAGGGGTGAGCGATATAGGCCGCAGGCCCTTCTTGATCTCCTTTACTGGCTTCTGTTTTGGATAAGGGGTGACATCCGCCAACTTCTAGATGCTCGGTAGGCGCTGTTCCTTAAAGGAGGCAGTCAGTATAACAGATACTGGGTATGCAAGGAATTCTGCATACTCTCTCAGTATCCAATTAGGAATCCCATCGGGGTCGCCGGCCTTTGCAGGATTGAGATGAGAGAGTCTCTTGTACTAGAAATTCTGGGGCGTGGTCTTCTTCTAGAGGGATCTTTGGAATTTCATCAGTTAACCGGTATTCCTCAAGAGGTTCCAGCAAGGCATGGTTGATATGATCCGCCACCTCATGCATGGGTAAACTCTCCAGCTCGTTGACATCCAAGTGAGGAAGCAGACTGCAAGATGGAACTTTCACAATTTGCTTAAGATGGTAATGGTTCTTCACGAGCTGTAAGTTCAGGCGATTGAAATCCCCACAGACCATTCATGCACAGTTCGAATATATAGACTCTGTCAGGGCCAGAGAACTAGAGAGATGGTTCCTAGTGCTGCTATCGTTCTCAGCTGATGGATCAGGATGGTAAACAATTGCCATAGCTAAGCAGGAGTACCCTCGGGGGAGTCGCTTTGGCCTCGGATGGACCCATAGAATTTCGTGTTCTTCGCAACATTTGAGTTCATCGATCAGCCGGTATTTAGAATATCTGTCCTTGATATATAGGCACACCCCGCCGTGCTCAACCACTTCTCTGTCCCGGCGGATGATGGAGTAGCCAGGGATCTCTTCTACACTATCAACTATGCGATCTTTCAATCAAGTTTCATTAATACATGCCAAATCAACCTTATTACGTACAGTGAACTTGAATACTTCTGCGATCTTTGGCATAAGAGACATGACGTTGGCCAATAATATTTTGGGGACAAAGTGTTCTCGTTTTGGCTGGTTGTTCGGATACGTGACGCGTTGCGCGCGTGATCCTGCGGGTCTTGATGATTGTTCAAAGTTCCATTTCCAAAGGTGTTATCTTGAATATTTAATGACTCTCTCCATCCGTTATGTAAATGAGCTTCTACTTCACTGACGCTAGTTTCCTCTTGAAATGATGACTCCAACGAGCAAAGATGATCTCTAGAAAACTAAGGTTGTAACATGCTTCATGTAACGTTCCTTTTACTTTGTATTCATTTTTCATTTTCAGTTTGTCCATATAAAATAATCATGACGAATTGTTATGAATTTTTTAGTCAAACATTCTAATTTCTTTTGTAAGACAGAGCAACTCTCGTAATTTGACGTTCTCAGGTCGCGTGAAAGGTGGCTGTAACGACTTGGAGGTGACCATTTCCAGAATGATTCGCGTATGTAGCATCGAGAACTGTGATAATTTGTCGAATACATTTGCTTTCTTTTCGCATTATTAGCGCGAGCAGACTTGAGGGGGAGCTCAACGCGAAACGCGAGTCACGCGCGAGAAAGGTAATCTTTTGCGCGCTCCTTATCTCGCGTGTGTCTTCGCTGGCCTCCGCTGCTATGAAAAAGAGCAAATTAAGATATAGCGACTCAACTGAAGCAAAAATGCGAAAAATTAAAAGGAAGAAATAAGATATTTAAAAAATTATCCGATAAGCCCCCCGAATTTAAGCCCCCCATAAGAGTCTTTGTCTTTGAGAAAGGAACTCTTCAAACAGAAAATTTGAAAATTTTTTGCGGAGCAGTAAGTTCATTACTTCTTTTTGATTATCATCTCTTTATATAGCTAAATATTTATTTGAAAATTCTATCGAATTAACTTTTCAATGCTTTAAAGGGACGGCGGAGCCTGTTTTCAATTGTAGGGGGGAGAAGGGGGCTTGGAACTAGCGTAGGGGTGCGAGTTTGTAGGGGGTCTTCTCCATCCTCTCCAGAGAATTTTGAAATCGCCAACTCGGGGAATAATCTGTGGTGAAGCTGACCTTTTTTATTTGCATCTTCTTTCTCTTTTGTCTTCATACGTGCCTCACGGTAAAACAAAGCAAAATGTCGTCGCAAAAAGTGTAACAGTTGCTTTAGCTCCGCCGTCCGCGTTATTAGGCTTTAACTTAACACATTCAATCAACTTAACGAAGGGCTTTGTTTGTGTAAATTGACGATGGTGAATAAAATGCAGTCTGTGCCTCACACATTTGTTTCCTTAACTACCTGAGCTTTGTTTTTCTTAGTCCGAAAGAGATAATATACACACGGTAATTCAAATGTATTGAAATAAATTCGATTTGTCATCACGTTTTGAAGCTAATGCGAACCGGGCCTACAAAAACAAAACCTTGAGAAACTTGTCAATCATTCGTCGCAAAGCTACAACCAGCATATAATTAGACTGAAATCAGTTTACCAGATGGGTAAAAATTGTCTTAAGTTGCAAAACTCGGGAATTCTAAAATTTTAAAAAAACAGGCTAAGGATAAATCCTGGAAATTAGAGGTAGAATCCTTTGGGAAAGTATGCTGGCCGTCTTATGAACAGATTAGGCGCTGAAGTAGGTTGACGGCTTTGAAATTGTTAATGCGGATGCAACAGAAGAAACAAATATTTGTGGTGACAAAATTTGTCCTTGACTTTTTCGGGACAATTCTAGCTTTGTCCGTTAGCGCGGAAAGGCACTTATATGATAAAATGAAATTTCAACCTATATGTTCGAGGTTTTACTTCTAAAATGGGTGATAAACTTCTCCATCTTTTACCATATATGTTTTATCCTATTCTGCCATTTATTTATCTATTTTTAAATTTATTCTTTGGTTCGTTCAAGTGTAAAAATTAGCACTCGACGACCCAAGAACAATACAGAGAAATAAATGACGTGGCTCAATATAAATTTATGCTGATTTGACAAGTCCACAAAATTTCTTTGGGATTAAAATCCGAATTATTGCTAAATCACTCGACACTACTTCTAGGAAACACTGTGCAATTTTATACCTTTTCTCAGAAAAATAAGCCGAAGTATCAAATTTGTCGGCGTCTCATTTAAAAGGTAACATTTGATAAAGTAACGCAATAGCAAACGCATTCGCTCAGTCACTTTTTCCGCTTTAGAACCCGAACAACGAAAAATGCATTTAGTACTGGTACACGGATATTTGCTCGGTGGTTCAGGCTCCAATGTCTACACTGCTAACATTGCCAAATCGTGGAAGCGACAGGGTCATGCGGTGACGATACTCTGCCAAGATCCTCATGCTGATCGTTTGGATTTTGTCGACGAATTCATTGTCGGCAACGACAGTATTCCGTCCTCCGCCCCCTCGGCAGGCAGTATTCGAGTCGTAGTACCAGACATTCATGGGCTGCTTCTTGTCTATTGGTACGATCTCTACGAGGGGTACGAGGTGAAGACGATGGTGAACTGTTCTTTGGAGGAAATCGAAGCGAACATCGAAGGAACAGCGGACGGCTTGAAGAAGGTGATCGCTCAAGGCGTCGATAGAATACTGGCGAATCATGCGATCTTGAGTCCGGTGATAACGAAACGAGCCACGGAAGGCACGGGGATTCCATACGATGTCAAAATACATGGAAGCTCTCTGATATTTTCCGTGAAAAACCGTCAAGAGCTAAGATCCTACGCTTTGGAAGGAATAAAGAGTTGTCGCAAACTGATCGTCGGGGCGAAGTACATGGCGAGCTTTGTGCAAGAAATATTCGAGGTGGAGAAAGAGGAGATGGGTCTGCCCGGAAAGATCGTCATAATTCCTCCAGGCATGGACCCTGACGTTTTTCAGCTCGGTGGGTCTATAGGCGAGAGGCAAGAGGCGTTTTTGGCGAGTGCAAAAGATTTTATCACGCGAAAGCCTGGAGGGAGAAGAGCAAATAAAGTCAAACTTCCGGGTCACGCAACTGTCGAGTTACAGAAGGCATTAGAAAGCGTTTCAGAGTCTTATGACCTGCGAGCGGCTGATGCAGACCTTTGTGAACGCTGGATTCCTCTGGAAGAAGATGAGCCACTTATCTGCTTCTTTGGCAAGTTTCAAGAAACCAAAGGAGTCGGGGAATTATTACTGGCTTTTGCGACGATTGTTGAACGGATTCCGCGGGCCAGACTGTTGTTGATCGGATATGGCGGTAACCGCGAGAATTTGGAGGGAATGCTGGAGGCGATGGTTCAAGGAAGTTTAGCAGCCTTCAAGGCCTACGCTGAAGCAGGAAACTTCGTGGATCTCCCTCTGGAACCTGAGAAATTCTTCCGCCAGATTCCTTCGGGAAGGGTTACAATGACAGGTCTCCTAGAACACGGCCAACTAAAGGAAATCCTTCCTCTCTGCAGTCTCAGTGTAATGGCATCCAAAGCCCTGGAAGCCTTTGGAATGGTCTCAGTAGAAGCTATGGCTGCCGGGGTCCTTCCCCTCTGTCACGATCACACGGGAATCTCAGATGTCATTGGTGCTGTCAAAGAGGTGGATCCTGAGTTAGGAGATCTGATGCGCTTGGAGGTACGTCCAGGTGGCGCTCATGGCGTAGCAGACGGCGCGTTTCTGGTGGAGCAGTTGCCAAACAAAGTGGAGAAAGCTCTTAAGTTCATGTATCCTACTGGTTTCCGTGATCATAGTAAACGATGTGAGGTGTCCGCTAAGCTGAGGGATGTGGCAATAGCCAAGTTCTCCTGGGATGTTATTACCAGCAGCATCTTAAAAGAGTAACAGAACTGAGTCTCAAGCCTAACTATCTTTTCAAACTTGATTCAAATTGAATATTGATCCTCAAGTACGTACATTACATCATGATTCATAAAAAAAAAAGGGAGAGAGGAGATCCTCGCTATTTTTAGGTGAAAGAGAGCAAGCGAACGAAATTGGAATTTTCTATATAGTCACCAACTAAAATGATTATTGTTATTGATTTAGTGGTTAGTGTCTTAGTCGTTTAACCTCCAAATTTTTATTTTCTCTCATACTGTCATCAAATTTACCAGAGAATAAGAGCAGCCGGAAATTTGTCCAAAACTTATGCCAGGGAGGTAGTCTTAGTTTTATCAAAGGGATACTTCCAACATTTGATCACTTTTATGTCTGTACTAATTGCTAGTCGGGTGTAGAATGATATTGCAATGAAGGCATTCATTTCAAATGCTTTCCTTTTCCGTTATTGACACTGCGCTTGACATATGGCAGCATTTTGTCAACTCAATTAAGTCTCATCTGCCATGGATAATGATCGGAAATAAAAAATCTTGATTTTTAAGCCATCTCATCTTCATTGAAAATGAATTGCTGTCTTTGGTTTCCCTGCGCGGTTTTTTCATTTTGTCTCAACACGACCTAATATGGCTCTGACGAGTTCCCTTTGTTCTCGAATTTCTACTGAACTATGATACTGAAGTCGTGGCTCCATTGTTTTCTAGCAATCTTCTCTAAGTTAATGCGTCAGAAACACAAGCAATGACTTTGGGTAGATCCCAGTGCAAATACGACCTTGGTTTAAGTAATAGCAAGATCTAGTCTCAAACCACACTAAAAATTTTAAGTGTTACCCTAAATGATAAACTCACTTCAAACCTTTTGTCAATGAGATTTTCAAAAATTATTTTTACTTATTTTTCTTACTTTTTTCCTGTTTTGTTGTCGAGCGTTTCATACATGAGCCTCGTTGCTCGGAAGATTGGGCGACGACTTCCCACGTCATCGACAATAAGTAAATTATTACCTACTCAAATGATTGGTGTTCCTTCAAGGTCATTCAAGCTCACTCATATCCCGGAAACAGTCTCAGTTCTCGGAGATAAGCTTTATGATACGACTCAAATAATTTTATGTAACTCTGTAATCACTTTTCCATATTTATCACTAGAATGATAGCACTTTACTAAAAAGCAAAAAAATTGCTTAAAAGATAGGAAGTTGAGGGCGACTGACAGCGATGGATGGGACACAGCTGCTCGGTCTTATATTCCATGCTACCTACATACAGGAGGAAACCGCATCGCGATCAACCCCTGAGCAAGAATCCTGAACACTCATATTTCAAATGCGTGACAACCGACGGAGTCCTGGGAGACACATCCTGATTGTTATGAGGTTATCGTGACATATAAATTCTCCGTCACGTAGCGTTAAAGCAGCCGAAAGATCTTATCATTCACTGCTATATAAAGACATGGCTTTTGGTCGTTCAAGGTTACCTCTATTTGTAGTTTTGGTCTGTGGCACAGCTATTCCATTGTTTTACGTAGTAAAAAGAACAACATTGAATGGAGGATACACTCCTTGGTCGGACTGGAGCGTTTGTTCGAGTGATTGCGGCGACGGAATTCGCTTCAGAACTAGAGATTGTGCGAATCCTGTCCCCGGCAGATTCGGCCAGACGTGTCTTAAACAAAGCCTTGGGCAACCAAAGGAAGAAGAAAATTGTAAGATTAAGGAATGTCCCATAGATGGGGGATTCACAAATTGGGGTGACTTTGGCGAGTGTTCCACAACGTGTGGAAATGACGGTGTCAAGAAAAGGAAGAGGTCTTGTACAAATCCAAGTCCGCAATACGATGGAGCACCTTGCGAAGGCGCCGACGAGGAAAGTGGGGTCTGCAACGTGAAACCATGTCCTGTCGACGGTGGGTTTACCAATTGGGGAAATTTTGGCGACTGCGATAAATCATGCGGATCGGGTGTTAAGAGACGAACGCGAACGTGTTCGAATCCACCGCCGGCTCATGGTGGAAAAAACTGCGAGGGTCCAGTGGATGAGGTTGAAGAGTGCAACACTGCACCCTGCGCGGTAAATGGCGGGTTCACGAACTGGTCTGAGTTCGGAAGTTGTAGCAAGACTTGTGGCTCTGGCGTCCAAGCCAAAAATCGTAATTGTTCACAACCAGCCCCAGCGAATGGAGGTAAAGATTGCGAAGGACCCTTTGAAGAAACACAAGCTTGCAACACAGATCCTTGTCCTAATATTGGGGCTTAGGGTTTTGGAACTCAAAGACAGATTATTGAGAAATGTTCATGGTTCCTTTGGAGAAAGAGAGAGTTCCGCCTTTATCTCTATTCAATGCGGTAAAATTTCCGCACAGCCCCATACTTCATTATGCATTCAGTTCTTGAATAGAGAAAACAATGACTAAAACAATACATTGCCATTGGGAAAACAGATTTATTTTACAATAGTATGGGGCTGTGCGGAAATTTTACCATTTCAACTCCGAATTTAGACTTTCAAGAGTGCATTATGTAGAGTTCTTCGGTAACGAACACAGGGAAAGTAAAACAAAACGCTACATAGGACAACTATGTCCCACTTTGTCCTAACAAGATCTCCAAAACAATACCCTCTAATAATTAATGCATAAAAACCAACGTGATAAATTGTTTGAACTGACGACATTTTCCCCTAAGAATAAAAAATATGTGTGTTGAAGTAAAGATAACCATTATAGCTTATGACACAAAGCAAGTTATCTTGTGAACTTAAGGGTGTTATTGCCTTCAGATGCAGTTGATACCGGAATCACTGGATAGTCAATGATTCAGTTATTTGCATAAAGAGTGCTGCTGCTGATGTTATGGCGGCACGTTCCAGATGGCTGCCCACTACTTAATTTTATTTGACAGATTGACGAAATTTTGGCGGTAGTCTGGAGGACTGACATCGACTGATATGCGCCCACACTTCCAGAAATCCTTGGTTTTCTGTATAGGTTTTAGTCTTTGTAGATCAGCAACTTTTCTAAAATTAAAAAAAAATATATTCAAGGATAAGTTTAACGTTGTTGTCAAAATTGTAGAGTATCTAAGAATCATCGGAAAATTAAAACTTCTCATCATTGAAGTTTGTCAAAGTAATATAAACTGTTTATATTCCCTCGCATTTGTCTCCTGTATCTTTAAGGAGTATAACATGAAGAATCTATATACCCGTTCGAAATAGTTTGTAATACAAATACTGCAATAATAGGAAACATTACGCTGTTGGCCTTTTGTCCATTTTTAAGAGTTGCATAATTATAAGAATTCTCGCCAGCTGATTGAGTACCCAGTCTACCCAGACGAAATATTGAGAGCAGATTTGTGGCTTGAAAGCGAGGCCGAAGCGAAGCGCGCGAAAAAAAAGCTCGGGTTAGAAACCCATACACACATGACTTGAAAGCAACAACATTCAAACGGGACAGGAAAATTGGCAAAGAAAAACACTAGAAAGCTTAATTTAGAATTCCATCAAAGGGTGAAGCATTTTTGTTAATTTTCACAAGGGTGGAAGAGTAAACAGGTCCCTTCAGCGAGAGCAAAAACTGGGAAACTCTTTGACAAATTTCAAAAGGCTATTCAAAACATGCAGCTATTCAAGCGTGCATAGCAACTTTCTTCGTCGTCAAAATCTCAGGTGTGGTTTACCCTTGCAACGTTCTATCAATCCAGTCGCAGCTGCAATTCGACGGAACACGATGAAGTTGGTGAAACAAGCTGGCTGGAGGTTTTTGAACAATCTTGGCAGCGGAAATTTAGCGTAAGTATGTACCTGGAGTTTTGTGAATGACCTCGCTTTGCAAAAAAAGCATACTTTGGCTCGCAGGACTTGAATTCCTTTGAACATAATCGAACTGTATAAGTCAGTGAATAGCTATTTTGGGTAAATGTAGATTTTGAAATTCCTGTCCAGCCGTGATTTGAAATAGTTAAACTTATTGAAAAATCTCTTTTTGGGGTTAGCCTTTCAAAATAGAAGTTCTTTCTTTTCTTGTGTTGCCGTGGACAAGAAGTTTGGAAAAAGGCTGCATGAAAAATTGTTTTAAAAATTAATCTTGTACTGTCGTTAAACACTTCTTAATTATCCCCTAAAATCACTTTAACTTGTACGAAAATTGGAGTGCAAAGTTTTGAAACTGTTTCAAATAGATTCAGCTGAATTTTTATATTGATATTTCACTCGCTGTGAGATGAGCGGACAGTGGATTTAGAATTGTTCACCGAGTGGGTATAAGACAAGAAAGGGGATGGAAAGAGCTCTTTTTGTTTTTTTAGAACAGATATGGAATTTTCCAAAAGAACCGTGAAGCAGTCTGGTCTCAGTTACAATCTTTTTCATCAAACTAGGGCTCAGAAACCGATGGAATCTGGGAATGACAATGAGTACAACAATTTGATAAGCAATGTGAATCACACTGTGAGTAACTGATTTAGATGAAAATCCAATCACTTCGGTATGGCAAATTTATCCAATTTTTTCGCCAGATGCTTAACGTTTGTTGAAATTGCTCTTTGTCATCCCAATGGTAAATTTAAAATTCGCAATGCTAACTTTCAAAACAGATATTCCCCACGCAGTTGCTTTCTTGGTGTCTTTTAGGAATTGAATCATCAATAAGAGAATCAATGCCTACATCTGACAAATCGTCAAACTTTGAGTCAGTCGAAGCCATTGTGTAATGACAGTGGTGTGTTGAATTTACACCACGGCTATTACACCACGATGATGATGTCAAGGAGGTTGTTTTGTCACAACCCAGAAAATCAGAATTCGTATAGTGTATGGAAGTTGAATAATAATACTAAATCACCCTGTGACACACTGCGAAAGTTCAGCTCTGGAAAGTTTCCCTTACATCCAGGCAAACTAAGAGTTCTAATTGAAAAAAGAACATCATTAATTTTGTGTATCTTTATCTTCCTGTGGCATATTTGGCGGCAAGTAGCGCTAATAAAAGGTAAAATGGCCTTTGTTGAAAATTGATGAGTTTAACTTTAACTCAATGGATATTAGTTTCTGGCCAATGTATTCTTTCATGAAAGAAATCTTCAGTCCGATCTGTGCAAAATTATGGAATGGTGTCAGTGAGATTTCCCTGAAAAGGGAAAACGGTACTATTGCATTTTGAAAGAAGCTTTCACAAATGCAAAGAAATTTTTTATGTTATGGTTTAGAGTGTGAAAGGTTCATAATTAAAGGATGTTTGACATCACACGATTTCTGTTCTCCTTTCTGTTGTAGCCGCTTGAATTGGGAGTAGATATGTGGGAGGAGATTACTATTCATCAGGATTAGTTGCAATTCATGTCGGCAGCTGCGTAGGGAAATGAGGCAAACATATTTTTGGCAAAACAGTAGTTTAACTTCGTCATGAACAATGGCTCACGTTGTGATTTCTCTTTTTAAGGTGCGAGTTTTATCTCGCGACCTAAAGAGGCGAAAAACGTCAATTTGGCATTTTGTTCGCCAGATGCCTGACAATGTGCTGAATTATATGAGTTCAAATCTAATAATGGCGCTGTCGTCCATAGGCTTTTAGGACTTTAGGAGGATAACCCATCAGAACACAGGATTCGCTTCATATTGCCCACAAGCATTGCCAGCGATATAATATAATATGATAAGCAATACGATTCACATTGTGAATATTTCATTTTAGATGAAAAATAAATATCGCTTTTGGACCGATCACTTTCAACTTACTCTTTGTCATCCCAATGGTCGCGCAGTTTGCCGGCCCATATTTGTAAGATTTCAAATGTTCATTAAAATGAGAAATTGGTGATACTCAGAGATATTGCTTTTGTGCCCAAACACAATTGCAAATTAAAAGTTCAGCTCTGGGAAGTTCAACTTACATATTAGTAAATCAGGAGTCTTCATTAAAAAGGAAAAAATTAATTTTGGGAGCTCTGGAACTATTTTTTCAATCGCTCAGACGAAGGGCTAACGCTCGAAACGTCAGCTGCTTTTTTTTTAGCCTTTACGGTGGCGAATTTACGTTTTCAACGCAGTTGTTAACACTAAATTACCTGCTATACTCTCCCACCGACGCAGCACCACGGTTTCTTTAGAAACTTACCCCCTTAATTTTGGAGCCTTTATCTTCCCATGGCTTTTTTGGCGGCAAAGTAAAGGTAAAATGGCCTTTCAGTTTTAAATTGAGAGAGTCATAGCGCAATAGTAGATGTGTGGTACTATCCAATTTTTGCCCTCCCTTCTGACGTAGCTTAATTCAAGTGGGAGCACATATGAAGTTTCCTGGAAGGAGCTATACTATTCATCAGTTGCAATTCATGTCAGAAGCAGCCTAAGGAAATTAGAACAGGGAAAAGTATTTTTGGTAAGATAGGATATTATTTTGTCAAGAACAATGGCTCACACTGTGAATTTTCATTTTTAGAGGCAAGTTTTTATCTCGCGAAATAGGTCAATTTGGCCTTTTGTACACCAGATGGATGACAATGTACGAAATCATAGAAGTTCCAATCTAATAATAGCGTGGTTGGTATTAGGCTCTTAGGACTAAAAGAGAACAACGGGGAACCTAATTCTTAGTTTTTACCTGACTTATAAATATAGAAGAGAGATCATTGGTTACGCAAAAGGACATTTCTGATCAAAACGATACGCCATGCAACAGCAGTGAGGTAAGAATATTGGGTATAAAATATTTCTTTCCTCAGTTTGATTTAAGTTGAAAATAATGTATTTGCAGTAGTTTTTGCGGCGTTTTTAATCGGTTTCGAAGACATGATATCCGAACAACAATTGAGTCTGCATAAAGAGCTTTAACCTAAAAAAGCCATTTACGCTATAACTCAACTTTTGTGGATGGAAGGTATGTTCGGATTTGGTTGCGCGATTAATGCCCGCCGAAGAAGCTTCATAAGTAAGAACTGAAATTTTCAAATGCATTTTGACACAGATGCAAGGTCGTTTCAAAGGAGAAAATGTGCTTCATCTTTGACTTTGTGTTTATGAGATTTTCCAAAATACCTTTTCTTTTGAGGAAAAAAAAAACATGCGAAACCGAGTTTTACACAAGTTTTCCACTTGTAACTTGTGCGTCACCTCTGAAGGATATCAATCGAAGAGACAAATACCGAAAATGCATTTTCATATCGAAAACAGGGAGGAGTTTTTGTTTCTATCAGAAAGTATCAAATACATGGAAAAATGCACAAACGGCTGATACACAAATCGCTCGAAAAATGTCCCCTTTTTTTAAATCTATAATCGTTTAATCAGCACATAAGTTTTAGGCCCATTTTGATGAGTAGGATCAATATTATTTTTAAGCTTAGTCACCACGGGGGCTTACGCAGTAGGAGCATACCCCCAAAATATTTAGATTTAGAGCTGATAA